GACTAGATGATCTGCTCAGGTCCCTTCCGACCCTAGAAACTATGAAACTATGAAACTATGAGTCTGAGAACCTTCACTAAAGATTTCTGAGAAAAAGCTGAGTAGACTTATATCTGGGACAGTGCAGAAATAGCTTCTCCTGCAGTTTTGCAGGGGGTTGGACTAAATGACCATTTAAGGTGTCTTCCAGCCTTGTGATTCTCTGATTGGGCCCTTGGGGGGGTCACTTGATATTCATTCCAACCCCAAGATCAGGTGAACAGAAAGGCTTACACGTTAAAGCAGAGGGGCCAGATCCAGCCCACAGAGTAGGGTCATCCAGTACATGGACTTTTGCCCTCACTCAGGCTGCAGTGGTGGGGCTCCTTCCCACAGCAGGAGCCGGAGCCAGGGCAGGGCCCCAGCAGCACCACAGGCAGAAGCCTTGCAACCATGGTCAGAGCCCCAGCCCTGTCCATGGTGCCAGGGCTTCTTTCTGTGGCAGTAGCCCTCACCCCAGTAGCATTGCAACCAGAAGCCCTGCCACCGTGGTCAGAGCCTTGGTGTGGTCCACAAGCACATACAAAGCAGGGGATGTGGCCCTCCAATCAATTGGCATTTAATACTCCCATATTCAAGCAAGAGAAAGTCAGGACTCAAATTCTGCTCTCAGCACTTCAGTTGCATCCATGTTTGATCTGAAAAATACATCCTCATCCTGCTCTATGCCGCAGTTTTGCCATGTGTATAATGGGAGGGAGGGATCTCACCCTACTGTTATGGGGGTGCAGGCTGGATCTGAGAGTAGCAGGGAGTGGAGACGTGGGGCAGGCAGAAGGGTCTGTGACATGCCAGAGTGAGAGCTGTCTTCTAAATTTGTCTGAACAGCACAGGTACAATAAGCAATGGTGAGATTTTTCTGGAGCTCCCTCTGGATCATTTACACAAGGCAACTGCGATTCACTGGCAGAGTTTGTGGGTGACTCCTTTTCTTTAAAGCTGGCCCCAAGGTACCTTCACTTTCTGGGTTCCCTTGTCAGGGGCTCCACACCCCTTATCTCTTGTGAGCCTGCCTTTGCTCCTATGTCCACCCCAGAGGAGTTCTCGAGGTCCGCACAGCTCAGGTCTCCCTTCTCCACTCTTTTTCCTCTTGCCATGCAAGTGCCCTTCTTGCCTACCCTGACATCCCTTTTCCATCTCCCTCTGTGCTCCCCTCTCCTAGGAATGAGAAGTCACCTGTGCAGTCCCTGACAAGCAGCTCTCCAAGGGAAGCCCTGAGTCCTGAGCAGACAGGAGGCAGCAGTGAGGGAGTTGCCAGAAGTGAAGCTGGAGACAAGGAAAAGAGAGTCCCAGGAAATGAGGTAAGAACAAAAGCTGGGCCCAGATCCCTACTCCCCTTCCCATGACAGGAACAGCCACACCTGTGCCACGTGACATAATTATTTGGCAAAGCAACATGGGAAGGTGCTTGATTATCTGTGCCCTGGACTGGAAGTAACAGCTTTGTGACTGCCACACGTTCACCCTTGTGAAGCTAGTGTGACCTCCTCTGCAGCCCCTGAGTGACCAGCACGTGACCATGCAAACACTATAACTTGTTTATGATGCCACAAGGCCCTCAGTGATGTGCATGTGACTCCATGCCTCTCTGCAGCCACCTGGCACACCCCTGCCCTTTCCTACTCCCGCGTTTTGGTCTAGGCCAAGCTGGCATGTGTTCTTGTGTGTGTGTGTGTGTATCTCAAGGCTGTCACTGGCATCCCTCTGCAGCATTGCCCTGGTACATGCAGTTCTGGGAGGCAGCACCATAGCCCCTACCCCACCGACTTTACTTGGGAACCTGTAGCCAGGCTGGGTCTGCTCATAGGGGCATCCTATTTATAGGGTGGCAGGGGTTAGGAGCTAGGCCTGCTGATAGAAGTCCATGTCATATTCAACCCTGAAGCTGTGTGATGGAGGAACAAGACCCTAACAGGCTCTTTTTGTGCCCTAGGTGCAGAAGGATGTTTCAGGGAGTGTGACAGAGCATGTAAGAGGCGAGGAAGGCAGTCCAGGCTTGTCTGGAGGGCATCTCGCCGAGGGGTGCCACAGCAGCAAGAGGTACTGGCTTGCGGAAACCACTCTCAGGAAGAGCAGAACTTGGAGGGTAGAGGGGAGAGCTCTAGGCTGGATATCACTAAGAAGGGAGAGGGGACTCTAGACCTATTCCTTAGCTGCAAGAACTGCATCCCTAAGCCCATAATAGAGTCCCCAGAAGAGGCCTTGCTGGCAGGGTGGGCCTGGCCCTTTGATGCAGACACCTGCCTTCATGCTACAACCTTCAGAGTCCACCTGGCACAGCAACTGTCCCCCTTTCCCTGTGAACCCCATGGGAGGGACCTGGGGGGTCCTCATGACAGGAGAGTGATTGGACATGACTCTCCATCTCTGCCACAGGAGGAAGCTCCCAGGACACTCGGATGCTGGCTGGGGTGCGCCTCAGCAGGAGAGCCAGCTGCAGGACTACTGCCAGGCGGCTAACATGGTAATGTCTCCTAACAACCCACAGCATGGCCCAGGGCCCCCTAGGTCTTTCTGTTGCATGCTGTCCCCAAATATCTTCCTCTACTGCCCAACACAGCTCCTAAGTCCCTCCCCCCATGACCCTGGCATTAATGTGTCACCTCTCCCCTCCCCCCTGGTGCCAAACAGGCCGTATCCTGGCTGAAGGAGGGTGCAGGGCCTGGCATCCAGCAGAACCAAGTGGAGGATGCTGAGAACCTAGAGGCACTGCAGAGCCACCAGAAAATCCTGGGCAATAGCACTGGCTTGGAGGCTGTCTGCCAGGTGAGCCACTGCTGGAGGGTCTGGGGGATCAGGGGCCCAAAGTGGGGGGAACTGTTTGGGACTTGTGGGGCACCCCCAGGTATTGCACTTCTAGGGATGTCCCTGGGGGTGCCTGGGGACACAGAGGGGCCTACATGTCTCTGTTGTGCTTGTATTCCATGCAGCTGGGGCCCCCTAGAGGGGACAGGCCAAGCACTGGGGGTATGGCATTTCTTATAACTAGCTTCACTGTCCTTTGGGGTAGGACAGGAGGGAGCATGGAGATCCAGGTCCCTGTTGCCCCCAGGCTCAGGTGGGGTTGTGAAGGGCACTTTCCCTGTCCTTAGCACTTGCCTCATCATCAGACACCTGATGAAGGCGGTACCCACCTGGGCAGCACCTGACAGCATGTGTCCATCCCTGCCACAGGAAGGACAGAAGCTGTTGCATGCCTGCCCCAGGGGAAGCCCTGAAGTAGAAGGTGTCCTCCGGGAGCTGGCGGGGCTGTGGGAGGAGCTGCAGAGGAAGCACCAGGAGAATGGCGCAGTGCTGAGGGAGATTGATAAGGTGTGTGGCGTCGTTTGGCCCTGCCAGAGTCCCAGGCACACAGAGACAGTGTGAGCAGGGCCAAAAAGGGAGCACCCAGGCCTCAGGGACAGGCCCAACATTGCCAAATGGCAAAGCAGCTTTGCATACATCTGGGTGGCCCATACCTGGGATGTGCTGGAAAGGTTGGTCCCCAGCCTCAGCCAGGGCCCCTCAGTAGTTAAGTCTCCCTGGGGAGCCTTGCAGCAGGGGAGTGTTATAGTCTCTAAGGATGCAACAGCCAGCTGGATGCCATACATGCCACCAGGGACAGGTGCCCTGGAACCAACTTGGGAATCTTCCACCTCACGCAGCTGTAGCCTGTACTGTAGAGGCCTTGGAACAGAGAGGCATAACCAGCCAGTGCGATGTGCTGAGCAGAGATACTAGAGAGAGACGCGCAGAGAGATACAGGCCCTGGAGACTCAAGGGACACCAGCATAGTTTCCCTGGGGACCTCTAAATTGGTGCCCACTCACCCACCTTGAGTGGGTGGGAACGCTTTGCTAGGTTTGAGAGACCTCTAGTGGGTGGCCGTGGGCACCTGGAGGCCCAATCAGGAACTCTGTGAAACTGGGAGGATGATATGCCTTGCTGGGGTAGTCCAGGTCTGGCTTACACCCCAGCAGTGTTCCCTGAGCCCCTAGTGTTCTCTTAGCACCTACTGGGGCTTTCTTTCTGGCCCTGCAAGGAGAGGCAGCTGGCCTACCAGGCTCAGTCTGGTGGTGTACAGCTACCTGTTTCACTCTCCACTTCTTTTCCGCAGGCTTTGCGGCTGGTGGGGGAGCTGGACCGGGCTGAGCACTGGCTGCAGGGGGTGGCGGGCTCACTCTCAGAGCCGGCTGCTATGAAGAACCCAGAGGAGCTCCGCAGGGACCTGCAGGACATCGGCAGCCTGGAGAACCAGCTCCTGCTGTGGGGCATCAGGCTCCAGGCCCTGCGGGAGGAGATGGGCAGGGAGCCCTCCATGGGGCACGAGGCTGCTGGGAGGATTCAAAGGAAGGTGGAGACTGTGGAGGAAAAGTGAGTGAGGCAGCACTGGGGGTGGGAGAGTGGCATCTGGACAAGGGATGGGATCGGCACAGGAAGGGATCCCTTTCAGTGGGCTTGGGGTGTTGGACAGGGTCAGGGGAGGGGATTCCCACCCAGGGAGGAAGTAGTGGGGGCAAAGAAAGGAGAATTACATGCCAGATACATCCCCCCTTACCGGGAGCTGGCTGAAGGAGGAACAATGTGGACGGGCAGCATGGAGAACCAGCTCCTGCTGTGAGGCCTCTAGCTCCAGGCCCTGCAGAAGGAGATGGGCAGGGAGCCCATCTCCTCAGCAGGTGGCATCCCTGGGGAGCTGCCCTGTGTGTCCCCTGTGCCCCTACCCCACGGACATGTTTGCTGTGCCAGGCTGAGGTGTGTGCGAGCAGCTCTACGGAGGCGGGCATCAGACCTGCGCGACTCCCTGGTGCTATCCGAGTTCCTGCAGAATGTGCAGCAGGAAGAGGTGCTGAGCCAGAAAAGCTGTGTGCAGGTGAGCAGGGGATGGGGCAGGGCCTGGGGGCAGGTGGGGTGTGAGTGTGTCTATCTCTGATAGGGCAACGGGGCTCTCTCATGTGCTGGCCCTCCCCCCAGCAGCTCTCTGTGGCTGGTCCCTTGTGAGGCATGGTATGCCCTGATCTCCCTGATCCTGACTACCCCAGCCCATCACTGACTGCATGGGGGAGCCCATGCACATGCCCCTGTCAAGGAGGCTCTATGAGGATCCCTCTAGGGCCTGGCCCCTGCCTGTTGCAGTCCCTCTCCCAAGCCCCAGCATCACTTCTGTATGTTTGCTTTAGCCAGTGACCCACCAACTGGACCCCAAGGAGCCCTTGCACCCCCTGCTGGTGCAGGCTGGGCAGCAGCTGAACAGAGCGGGCATGACCAGCCCCCTGGGGGAGCTGCAGGAGGCAGTGGAGATGCTGAATGATGCAGTGAAGGAACGGGAGCGGGTCATGGAGGCAGCGGCAGAGACGGAAAGCCTGGAGCACCTGGTATGGGGCTAGCCTTGGAGGAGATGGGGAGAGCATTGTTCAGGTGAAGGAGGAGGTAGTGCCCACCACCTAGCGGCCATGGAGAGTGCAGCCAGCTTCCTAAGAGGGAAGAGTGACATTGGAAGTCTTCTCTGTCCAGCGTCTGCATGAGGGTCTGCTGATCAGTTACAACAGGGAGCTGGGAGCCAGGACTCCTAGGTCCTGTTCCTGATGGGAGGGGAGCATGATTTGATGCTTAGAGCTTAAGCTGGGACTCTGAGACAGCCTGTGCTGGTGCTGGGCAGTGGCTGTCAGCCCAATGGCTAACAAGCAGCCAGTTGCTCTTACTCAGCTATGGCAGGGAGCCATGAGCCTATGCTGGGTCCAGGGCACCAAGCAGAGCTGGTAGGGGGAGGAGAGGAGAGCATCTGTGTGGGCAGCTACAGCTTGGGAGTCCCATGCTGGGGTCCATCAGCCTCTTCTCCTCCCCCCAGCTGGCAGAGGTCTCCCTGCATATGCAGGCTGTCCGGTGCAGAGCAGAGGCCCTGGCACACGACATTGCCCAGGCAGAGAGGGGCTTTGCCACAGTGAAGAGTGAGTGGGATCTGCAGGGGCTGCAGGGTTTGCTAAGCCGGCAACAGGACATGGAGGTGAGTCCATGGGTGCATTGCCGCCCACATGGCTGCACTGTTTTGCCGTGGTTTTAGTGAACTCACTAGCACTCTCCACTGGCTTCCCACAGATCCTGAAGTGCCTATCTGCCCAACATGAGGGGGGTGGGGGGGTACAGGGCACGGAGTTTATCCAGAGGGTGGCCAGACCAGAAGCATCCCAGCCTGACTGTCACTCCTCCAAGGAGGTTCTGGCCCTCAGCCCCAAGTATCCTTAGCCCGGGCCTTTCATGGCAGGTTCGTCTGGAATTTTCCAGCCGAGCGTAGCCCTAAGCTGTCTTCTCCTCCTGTGGCCAGGAGGTGAGAAAGGAAGGGATTGCGTCAGCTCCCCATGCCAGTGCCTGGCTGCCAACACCTCGCACATCTTTCCACTCTGCATCCTGATGGAAGGATCTGACTCATGCAGGGGGAGCAGACTGTCTGTGGGGAAGCTCAGATCCCCTCCAGCCCCACAGGGCACTCCTTGCAGCCCCTTTCCTTGTCCCACTACAACTCCAGTCCACAGAGTGCAGCTCTGTTACACCCCACAGCCTGCCCCCTCTGGACCATGGTTCCCAATGCAAGCCAGCCCAGCAGTGAGAATTAGTGCCAAGCCCTGTTATGGGACTGAAAACCCTGGTCTCTTGCTCTAAGGGGGAGGGGCAGGAAGCATCTTGAGCAGATTAAGTAGGGTTGCTAGGGTCCCCCTTTCTCCCCAGCCAGAGGGGCAGGGACCCTCCTATGGGTCTCTGAAGAGTGGTGACACTTCTCAGCATCCTAAGCCCTTTTGTGTCCCCAGCGTGAGATGTCAGAGGCACTGGAGGGGCACCTGAAAGAGCTGCAGAGGGCAGCCTCTCGCTTGGAAAAGCTCTGCACCACTCAGAGGCATGACCTGGTCCCAGAAGTCCAGGAGACGCTGAAGGCTGGGGAGGGTCTGCTGGCACTCGTGCTGGAAAACAAGGCCCGCATGGAGCAGGCTGGTCAGCTACGGCAGTTCTTCAGGGATTACTTGGCTATGATGTGAGTGGCAGTGATCCCCAGCAAGGCATCGTGGGCACCTGTGTAAGGAGCCACTAGCCCTGCCTGCAAGGCCAAGGGGCAGGGAGGGTGCGGCTCTCCTGGGCTCAGCCATGGGGGCCAGTGCTGATTGCAGAATTGACAACCACTTGGTCATATTGAAGCAGGTCCTTGGGGAAACCCAAGGGCCTAAAGACATAGTGGTCCCCTGGCACAAAGCAGGAGGTGCCCAGGGTCAGGACAGTGTGAATTGGAGGATCTGTGCAGGGACTGCCAGCTGCAGCAGGCCCTATCACTGTGTACTTGGCCCCATATATGAGAGGAAACCAACCAGACCCCCAATATCATGAGCCTCTCTAAACAGTCATGATACTTATCAGCATTAGAGTCATTTTATTTTCGACATGCCTTCAAATGGAGCATAATCAGTACATACCCACACCCACATCCCCTTGGCTGTTACCAGGGGTACTCTACCCTGTGACATGTCCCTTCTCCTGGCCATCTCTCTGCACTGCCCAGTTTCCTATCCCCCTGCATTCAAGCCCCTCCAAGTTTCCTCCCTGCCATGCTCACTTCACCTACCATACTGTCCCTCCTTTTTCCATCAACCTCCTGCCACTCTTGTTCTCTTCTCTTCCCCTTCATTGTTTCCTGTTTTGAAACTAGAGAACCTGGCAGTGGCAGCCTTCCTCCAAGACACCCTGGCTTTACTAGTGATAAGACCAACTTATCCTAGGGGGAGCCAGATAGCCACTGCAAAGGCCATAAGGACATGGCAGCCACATTCAAGATGATAATAAGCAGAGGCCAGTTTTGGTAAAGGCCACTCCCTTACTTGGTGACCTGAGCATGTCCCCTCCGTGTGCCTTAGTTGCATTACCGATGACTCCAGGGTAGTTCCTGTAAGGAAACGTGAAGGTTTAGAAATGTATCAGCAGTGCCCTGCAAGTTGGCATCTCTGGTCTTGTCTCTGTCAGGGGAGGCAACTCCCTGCTGAGACTGACAGAGGTGGTTTCCTCTGGCATTCCTTGGTGGTCAAATCCAGGGAGCAGAGGCCATGCAGTGTAGGACATTTTCCTGGCCAGTTTGACCCAACAAGGAGTTGGCCTCTTGCCTGGGAGATGGGGCCTGACCCGAGGAGTTTTTGGCCTGTGGCCCCCTCAGAAGAGGGAGCAGATTGGAAAGAAGGGAAGAGACCCCTGCATACACTTTGGCAGGTCCTGATACCCTGCTTCTGCATTCACAGCTCCTGGACTGAGGACACGCGGGCTCAGATCTTCTCAGAAAACCTGAGCACCAATGGCCTCCTGGAGGCTCAGTGCGAAGAGCTGGAGAGGAAGATTGAGGACAAGTTCATGGAGTTTGAGAAGCTGGCAGCAGCAGGCCAGAAGCTGGTCTCTGAGGAGCATGACCTGAGTGAGACAGTAAGCAGGGTGAAGTCCCCTCCTCAAGGTGGGGCGGGGGACCCTTCACTGGCTTCCCACTGAGCTCCCTTGGGCTGGTACAGGACAGAAGGAACCCACTCTTCCTTGGTGGGGGCCACTGAGACCCTGCCCAGAAGGAGCCAGCTCAGCCTGCCCAGCCCTGGTTCAGTGCAGTCAGACTGCACTTCTGTCTGGCTCCCAGGTCTCAGAGGAAGGTGGCAAGCTAGTTTTGCTCTGGGCTCCGTCAGAGCTCTCTAGCAATGACCACTGAGCCCTGAGGCTCAGCTACCAACACTGGCCTGGTTCCAGGGATGGGTGAAGAGGAAGCTTCTCTGGAAAGCAGCTTCCTCCTAGTCCCTGGTAGAAGTTCACGTTCTCACAGGAGCTGCTGGTGTCTGTCTGTCTCCCTGCTTAGATCCAGGAGCGCATGGAGGAGCTGCAGAGCATGCTGGGGTGGGTGCTGGTGCGCTGGCGAGCCCAGAAGCACCAGCTGGACCCTGGGAGTAAAAGTGATGGCGGGAAGGGCCAGGACAGTCCACTGGACTCCACCCAGCATGCATTTCCTGGCAGCCAAGTGAGTGTGTAGGGTTGAGAGCAGGGACCACCTGGGACTCTGCTGGCTCAGCCCAGTGTGTGGAGGGGGGGTGGGGTGCATCTGAAGGCAGCAAAAATCTGCTGCACTGCCAAGGAAGAGATTGCCTGGTCAGTGCATGCCACATACAGCAAGGGGACTGGTGCTTTCCTCTCGTACAGGAAGGGTAAGCTGGACCCGCAGAGCAGGAGTTGGGATCCTTGGGTTGTAGCCCTGGCTCTGCCCCTCACTTGCTGTGTGAGCAAGACCCCACCCTTCTCCGTGCCTCAGTTTTACTTCTAGTGACTCCAGGATATTGATCCTGACCCACCAGCCTGGGCACAGGCAGAGAGCCACAAGGTTGAATTTGTTACTGTGTGCGAAGCACTTGGGGATCCCCGAGTGTAGTTTCCCTTGGTACTCAGAGCTCTCTGGTATAGAGCAGGAGACCTCAGCAATCCCCAGTGCAAGCTGTAGCAGAGAGCTGTGAGGGAGAGCAGGCGAGGGCAGGATGGGGTTCTAGGCAGGAGTGATGGTGGGGAGGAAGAGGGAGGCTCCATGGAGGGAGCAGGCATCTCGACAACCCCACATCTTCCCTGTCTGCTGTTGCTTCTCAGGACCGACATGCCCCATCAGTTCTGCCTGATGCTAAGAGGTTGCTGGGCCCTAATGCTTCAAAAGGACCTCAGCCTTCATCATGCTCCTTCCTGGAGCCCCTCACTCCCCCACAGGACCTCAAGGCACAGCCCCAGAGGCAGGAGAAAGAAGTGGTGCCTCCTTCAGTACTGCCCATTCCCAGACGGGAGCTGAGCTGGGAAGGTCCTGGTGACTCCACACCACTGGAGATAGGAATCCCCAAGGAGACCCTGGTCGACCCCTCCAAGACCCCAGTGGTGGTGGTGCCACCGCAAGGCACCAGCAGCGTGGGAGGGACAGTCAGCTTGATCCTGAGCATTGGCAAGAAAAGGGATAAGAGGCTACAGCTGGCGCAGGCTGGAGCGGAGCAGGGGGAAGAGGCTCTGCACAAGGTGGGTGATGCTGGCTGGGCGGTACAGCTTCTGCAGGCCAGAGAGGGAGCTTCAAGCACATGGCTTGTGTGGTGCCATTGGTAGTGCTGCGCAAGGGGGCTTTGCGCACCAGTGAGACAGCCTTTTTCCAATGGAGCTGCTGGAAGGGTTGATGCTGTGCCTTAATGTGGAGCTTGGCCCACAGCAGCTGTGCTCAGGTCTGTAGTTATGTCAGCTTGCAAACTCCCAGGTGCGCTTGGAGGGGCGTGACAAACCCCAGGTATTCCCAGGCAAGCTTGTGCCTCAGTTGAAGAGAGTTCAGGAAATTCCCTACAGTTGCTAGAGAGTGCTCCAGAGGCAAGTGGATTTTCTGGCTGAGGGATCCCCAGTGCTGCCCGCACCCCTGCCTCTTCAGGTGGCAGAAGCAATACAAGCTCTCTTGGCTTCCCTGTGCCAGGCATTGGCCTATCCCACCACAGCACCTGCTTCTCCTCCCTCCTGCTCCTCATCCTCCTCACCGTAGCAGACCATCCTCACTTCTCCCTCAATTCTGTATTTGTGTCTCTCTCTCCCCACCCTCAGCTCTCTAGCACTAAACCCTCAGGCTGTAAAACCTTTTGGAAGCGTTGCCAGGGGCTTTTAGGAAACACTTTGGGTAGTTTAAGGCGAAAGAGAAAGTCGTCTCGCCAGCCTGTGGAAGAGGTAACATCCCTGGGGCTGCATGCCGGGCAGAGGGGCTGCATGGCATGAGCTTGGCCTTTACTAACATGCCAGACCATCTCTGCAAGTGCCTCTGTGTTCTCTCTCTGGGCACCATTCCTGCTTTTCCCCTTCACAGAGAGGCCAGGCTAAGACCTGTCTCTTCCTTCTAGCTGGAGAGCAGGGTGTGGGGAGGGCACTCTGCTGCCCTGATAATCTGGTGCTAGGACAGGCCTGTCAGGGTGCCCCAGTGCTGTGGACCACTTCAGAATAAACCGAGTGCCCCAGCAGGCCCAGCGGGGTGAGGGAATGAGACACATGGTGACAGCTGTGACAGGGGATGAACTATGTTGGGGACAGCCTCAGTGCAGTTGTCAGTGGGCAGGTCTCCAAAGCCACGCTGTAGCTGGCAGAAGTTGGTTCTCTTGCTCTTAGGCTGAGCAGAGACTGACCAAGCCATGGACTGTGGACTGATTGCAGAAGAGGGTGATGTGCATGGGAGAAACACGGCGGGGAGGGGCTGGGGAATTTGTTCTGGGTTGCACATGTCAGCCCCATTCTGGGGACATCTCAAGGTGTCTGCAGTCCTGCATGGGTGCCATGGTCATGGAGACTGTGTCTGCTTAATGCTTTGTATCTAGTAACCCTTAATGTTAGCGCAGACAAGCTGGGCAGATCCCCATGTAGCATCTTCGGTCATTCAGAAGGAATGGGGTAGGGCTGGGTCCAGGTCCCTGTTCTGAGGCTGAATGTAAGGCAGCCATGTGATTGCATGCAAAACTGAGGCCTGGCCAGCCTGTGGGAACAGTTCAGTGCTGCTCACTCAGGCAGTAGGGGAGTCACCCAGCAGGGTCTGGGTCAACCAGCAGCACCAGACCCTGGATTACAGGGAGCAGCTCACCCTTGTTCACCCCTTGCCACAATTTCCTTGTGCACTCAAGGTGCAGGGACCAGCAGCTGGAGAGCTAGGCATGACCATGCAGGAGGCAGCCACATCCCCACCCCAGCAGGGCAGTGACCCAGAGTGGCAGTGACCCAGTCTCACTTGCTAAGACGGTGCCAGCCAGCAAACACTGGAAGATGGGGAGTGCTGGGCTCTGCAAATGCAAACTGCTACCCTCACCATCCATAATAAGGAAGAGTGACTTGCTGCATTTCACCACCCCTTCCTGCCCCCTCAACACACCAGACCCCAAGGAGCATTGCATTTTGGGTAGTTTCTATAGGCACTCCAACATGTTAGAGTGAGGGGGACACAGTTAGGCTCCCACAGTGTTGGCCATGCAGTTCCCAGTCAACAGGGACTGGCTTGTCCCCGGGAGTGAAGGCAGTGGTCCCTAGTATCATGGAGTGTGCCCTCCCCTAGCTGCTGTCACTGAGTGATATGGACGGTGCTGTCTGTGAGACATGACCAGTGGTTGGGCACAAGGAGCCATGTGGATCTGCATGTTGCTAGGTATGCATGCCCGTGAGGGAGCCCAGGACTATGCCCCTGCTCCTCCCACCCCAGCCTGGGTGTCTTCGGGCACCAGTAGCCTTAAGCCAGCAGGCAGGTGGGTCTAACATCTCTCCCCTGCCCTTGTGTTTCCCAGGTGAGCACTTATTTGTGTGTGAAGGAGAACGAAGGGGTTGGATCCGCCACCCACAAGAGCTCCACCATGCCCCGCCCAGCCAAACAAGCACCTGCAAGAAGCCATGCCTCCCTGGTTTCAAGCACTGGGGCAGACACTACCTTCCACACCCTGCCCAAAGCCAGCTCCAGCTCTCTTGTGGATAGCCTGCAGGGGGGCAGGAAGGCAGTGGTGGAAGGTGCCCAGCTACCCTGGCAGCAGAGGCTCCTGACAGCAGAGCCCAGCCAGCTGCAGCCTTGGTTGGAAGAAAAGCACAATCCCAGTAGCACTTGGCCTCTGAAGTGTGAGAGGAGGAAGATGGCAGAGAAGGCTTCCAGCCCCAAGCTGAGAGAGCTGGGAGAGGGTCCCCCAGAAAGGGCCAGCAACGCTGAATGTAGTACCATTAGGGCTGCATCTAGTGGCCCCAAAGCTGAAGTCCTGAGCCAGGGCATGGGTCCCAGCAGCTCGCAGCCAGTCTCATCAAAGGGCACTTGCCGGCATCTTTCTCTGGGGTCTGTCCTGAGCCTGGAACTGCCCAAGGACCTTGGTCTCCTCAGGAATGTCCAAGACTCTATTAAAATAGCTGAAAGGAAGAAGGGACAGCAGCCCTGTGGAGTGATTCAGTGGGAGGTCAAGGGGCCAGAGCAGGAGGTGAATGGTGCTAGCCTGTCAAAGGAGGTGCTGAGCCATCAGCTAACCACCTGCCCAAGGCCTGGAGGATCCATGGAGCCTTCCAGGAAGGCTCTGAAGAGTGAGCATGACACTTGGTTTGAAGAAGTGAGCTTCAACCCGGGCTACGACAGGCAGAAGACTCAGAGCGTTGCTGCAGCCCCCTCCCGAGAGGATGGGCAGAGTCCCCAGGGCCAGAGCAGCTCCAGCAATGATTTCCTGGACTCCCAAGTGCACCAGTTGTCCCGCATCAGCATGCTGCGTGAACAGGCTGGCTGGGAGTGGAACCAGCTGAAAGCCATGCTGGAGAAGCCTGGCAGCCCAGGAAGGGTGCAACCTGAGAAGCCAGTGGACCTCAAACCCCAACTCCAGGAAGCCACCAGGGTAGAGCTCAGGCCTTCTCCTACCAAGCTCTCCAGTGGGGCCCTCGCCAGAGGAGAACCACCACAAGGAAGCGGGAAGCTCAAGGAGTGCAAGCTAGAGACTGCCCCTATGAGCAAGGCTTCTGAGGAAAGCCCTGTGCGACTCCCTGGTGGAGGTACAGACCCATTCCCCTTGATTAACCTGGGCCTCAGAGCCACCCCCCAGCTCTCAGTTTTGGAGTATGATATCAGTTACCCACAGCAGAGCCTGGCATTAGCCTCCACAGGGCCTCAGGACCTGGCTTCTGCTGGACACATGATGGGGTTAGGCCTATCCAAAGAAGCAAAGCCACCAGGCTCAGTAGAGGTTTGCCACCCTGACCATGAGCTGTTTGAGGAAGATGAAGAGGAGCTTCAGGCCATATGGAGCAGCGTGGAGGGGCACAGCAGGCAGATTCCCCGAGCAGACCCCAGCATGTGCCCCACCATGGGGAATGGGTCGGACGAGGTGCAGAACCCAGATGTCTCCAACAGAAAGCTCATCTTGACATCAGAGAACAATGTGCTGGTGGCCAAGTTCACACTCCCTGCCTCTGCCCAGCAACTTTGCAATCCACAAACAGGAAGAGGCACCAGCAAGGGGCATAAAACTGAGGGAAGCCCGAGTGGGTTCTGGGCATCGCTCCCATCTCAAGAGGGGCTTCACGGGGTGAAGGAGGTTGTGGCATTGGGCTCAGTGGAGGGCACCGGCCCACAGAACCGGCAGAAGCACCAGGAGGAGGACAGAGACCTTGGCAAGGTCAGAGTGGCTGGCTGTCAGTAAGCTGTGTGTGCCCTTCCTTGGGGCTTCCAGGTGCCTGTGCAGACCCCTGCCATCCTCCCTTGACCATACAACTAGACAGTCCCTGCCTTCAGGAGATACCATCATGAGGCCTTGAATGACTTGGTGTAGTGGAGGGTGAAAGGCTGTCCCTTGCACTGTTGGCAGGCTGACCCGTGCAAGAGTCTACTAAAGCCTCTTAATGGGAGGATCTTGACTACGCAATTTATGGTGATTGGGGACTGCATTCTGGCTTTCCCTCTAGCTTGCTCCTTTGGCCTTTTGGGTAGCGGCAAGCGAGACTAGGGGACATCTGAACTCCAAGGCCTCCAGGCTTGGGGTTTGCACATAGGATGCCTGCCTTGGGTTTGGGAGTATCTGAAGCCCCAGGCTGAAGAGTTTGAGAGTAAGGAGACTTGCCAGTGGTAGAGCCATGTAGACTTGAACAATTGAGCTCTGCTCAGTCGATAGAATTTGGAACTGATTTGGCCCCAGACACAAAATTAAAAAGAACTAGGCAAGCCCTGCCTTATGCTCACAGTCCTCTATGCCACAGTCCCCTGGGGTGGCAAGACAGGCTAGGAGCTCCTTCCAATTCATTCCACCCCAAAATTGGCTGCCCTTGAGTAGCACATGGGGCTTGCGTGGCTAGCACCTCCCCATCTGCATCAGGGATCTACCCCAAATTGTACTTGCAACCACCAGTGGGTGGGGAAATCAAATCCTTTGGTATCCTAAGCACAGGCACCTGTCCCTAGAGCTCCCTGAGTAACTGTTAGCTGTGAGTTTACAGCCAGCTTCAGGGGACAAGATCCTGGTCTGTGAGAAGCACATTGCAAACAGCTTGTGTAGGTACAGCCATATGTTTGCCATGTGGGAGTACCTGCTACAGGTGTGTTGTAATGTGAGGATGTGCTGAGGTAGACGCCTGTTGCCTCTGCAGATCTGAAGGCACAGTGTGCCCTCCAGTGGCTTGGCCCACAGAGAGGAGAAAAGAATGGTGGCTTCCAGCTGCAGGAGGTCTTTCCTGGCTCCCAGAAAAGTGCACTGTGTTTGTGCCACTGGAAGATTCAGGTTCACCATCTGTGTAGCCATTGCATCTGCAGGAGGGTGAGTTCCTGGGCCTTCCAGAGCATAAAAGCACATGCAGGGCTTCCTGCTAATTCCCTGAAGAAATATGGTTTCTCTTGCTGTAGCTGCTAGTGTGTCACATGGCAGGGCTTTGATTAACTTGAGTCTTCAGGGTCTAGAAAATAACGTAGAGCTAATGGGTCAGGATACAAAATCCTGGAAATGTGGCAGGAGGACAGTATATGGTCCTATTAGAAAGCATATGGCTCTGCTTTTATCTGTTCTCTGTCACAGATCTTGACTATGCCAGGGAATGGCCCCAGGCTCCCCTTTGTCATTGCAAACTTGAGGTTGTCCTGTTGAGAGACAGGAGATCTCAGCCACTCCTGGCCTGTGGCTGCCAAAGGAAGCATCTGCTACAAGCCAGTGGCACCAGTGCCACTTTGATCATTATCTGTCTTTTTGCAGACTCCCCCCAGTAAGAGGGAGTTTCAGATGATGGAAGGAGCACTGGAGAGGAAGCATGTGCTGCAGACAGGAGGCAAAAAGGTACAGTAGGAGCAGCTCCACCTTCTCGGCAGGCCCTGGGTTGCAGACCTCCAGCATTGTACACAGGGTGCTTGGGGCAGCCAGAAATACAGCCTGCAGGCAGGCTGCAAGGTGCTGATGCCCAAGTACTTCCCTTGGCTTCTCTTGGAGATGCTGGGTGCTCAGCACACAGTGCATGATCTCAGGGGAAGCTAAGTGGTTTGTGGAGGTGCTAGCAAGTGCTTGCTGTCCCCTAGCTGCCTGCAGTCTCAGCCCAGCAGGCACATGACCTAAGGGCCTTCCAGATGACAATGATTTCTGTTTCCCAAGCCACGGCCCATAGATTAATCTCAGAGACATCAGCTCTACACAGACAGGTGCTGCCTCTCTCTCACACCCTATGACCTGGTCTGTCCTCAGGAACTGCCCTCAGGCTACATCTACACTGGCCTCTTAATGCAGACAGGGCCAAACTATGCTTTGCCCTACCCTGGAGGAAGGAGGTGTCTTTCCCTGAGGTGAGCAGCCCATGTTTGCTTCTCTCTGCCTGGGGCCCTATCCTGTTTCTGCTGCAGCCTGAGGCATCAGCAGTGCATGCACATGGCTCCTGAGGAAGCAACTAGTAGAATCTTGGGCCAATCCTTTTGGGCACTATTTAGGAAGGGATATCCCTGGAGCTGGGGAGTTGTCCCTCTCTGGTTTCCTGACCCATTGAACAGGCCCTCTATAGGACTGCCTCACTGAAAAGCACCCACATTTTTGCTAACCCGGCAGAGCAGGAGCAGCATCTCCACCTTGTGTGCCTCTGGGACTCGGGGTGGAGCCTCCATGCTGGCCTTGCCCACTTAACTATTTGCTTCTGCTTGCGGTCTTGTAGGCAAACTGTCGCACCTGGAGCCTGTTCCACACTGTGCTGATGAGGCAGACACTGTGCTTCTACCAGGACAGAAAGGACACTCTTAAGGTATATCCAGGAAATCCTCCCTGGCAGACACAGGGCAGACCTCTGGTCTGTTGGTAGGGACAAAGGGGTGTCTGGTACTTGGAGCAGGGAGCATAGGAGTCAGGACTCTTGGGTTATGTTCTTGGCAGTAGGGGTGGAAAGGGAACAGGAGGAGCCAGTGGTTGGAGACTGGGGGGATTGGCAGGCATTGGAATTCCTGGGTGCTGCCACATACTGAGACCATGGCCATGGGCAAGTGCTTTCTCTTCCCTGTGTGCTCTGGTGTCCCTGTCCTGCTGCAGCCCAGGACTAGAAGGGCTGTCAGAAGAGTGTGAGCTGTATTAATTGACATGTGGAGGTGCTTTCAAGGGGACCGGCAGGCAGCAGGGCTGGGCCACCTGAGAACCGATCCCCTACTTCCCAGCCAGCAAAAAGGGCTGAGATCTGGGGCTGTGGGGTGGAGAGACCAGCTTGGGAGGGTGCTCCAGGGAGATGTCTGGGGCTGGGAGGATTTGAGTCACTACCAAGATTATTCTTGCAGCAGCAGGACAAAGTCTTCTCCCCAGTGCCCTCTCCTGCTGCTTGTCAACCACGCTGGGGCTAGTGCTGAGAGTGCTTTGCCTGGGCACTGGACTGCTGTGAGCAGTGTCCTTCACTGTTGAATGTCCCCATCTCTGCAGCATTGCTGCTGACCCACCTTATCATCTATCCTATGTAACTGAGGGTCTAGCAGGCACTGCTTTGTGCCAGACAGTGCCCCTTTATGGCAGATCATAGGGATAACAGCTAGGGACTACAGACCAGGGATGGGTGCTAGCTGGGAGTCTCCAGTGTGAGAAACCCCGCTAGACATGGGGGAAACAGCCCATCAAGCTGCAGAGACCTCACTCTCCTTTTTGGTCCTCTGTGCTGCAGAGCTCTGTGGTGGCCCTGCCCCTGAACTTGTCAGGAGCACGCTGCACCCAGGACATGGAGTATACAAAAAAGACCAACTGCTTCAGGCTACAGTGAGTAACCAAAACAGGGCAGTTCCCCAGAGCTTCTTACAGGATGGGCATTCCCATTGTTGCAGCATCCCTCGGTGGCAGAGGCCAGGCTTGGAGCAGCTTTAAGGTTTCTGTGCCTTAGAGACTGTGGAGCTTGCAGATCATGCAAGGTCATTCAGCAGGCAGCTTAGTTGAAGTGCCAGCTGCTGAGCCATGGGGACCAAGCTCAGATGCCTGGTGTGGGGCTCCTTTGGCCTGAGTCATAGAGCATAGTTTCTCAACCTGTGGTACGCATACCCCAGGGGGTACACGAGACACAGGAAGGGGGTATGTGGGTATCCCAACACTCTCTCTCTTTCTCGCCTTCTTTTCCTCTCAAAACTATGGCAAAAATTTAAATTCCCCAGTAATAATTTGGCGTTCAGCCCTCCGAGCTTTGGGCAACATCACCTCTAGCCCAGGTACATACTTGAGTTGTGCACCCCTGGTGTAAAAGGTGGCAACCCTACCCACACCAGATCAGATATCTGTCATATCACGGCCTTATATACACAGCCCTTCTTCCAACATATAGCACACATTAGCCTGTAAATATAAAATCCCCTGGAAAATTAAGTGTTGGGGTACTTATTAAAATTTTCAGAAAGCAGGGGGTACTTGCTACTTAAAAGGTTGAGAAACACTGGCATAGAGTATGTGAAATCAGGGTTGGGGGGATGATCCTGTCCCTCTCTCCCTTTGGCCCCCAGGCTGCTGGGAAGTGGGGTGGCAGGAACCATTGTGTCTTCAGCCCATGTCATTATTCCTACTGACTCGCTGTTGCCCCCCCAGGCTGCGGGATGGCTCTGAGTACCTCCTGAGAGCTCCATCCCAACCTCTCATGAATGAGTGGGTCTCCAAACTGCAGCAGAACTCAGGTGAGGCACGCTCTGACCACCAGCAGGACATGAGATGATGAAGGGATGTAGCTAGGGTGGCTACTGAGCACCCCAGATACGGAAGATCCCCTGGGGGGGTACACCCCTGACTCCCTCAGCCAATCAGCAGTGAGGGTTGGTGCCACTGGGCCCCAATCAGCAAGTGAGGGGGCCCCAAAAAAGCCACCTCCCTCCCTGGCTGGCTGGAATCCTGCTCCTCTTGGCTGTGCATTGCCCTGTCTGTAAGCACAGCCAATAGAATCTTGAGGATAAATGATTGACGTGTGTTTCCACCAATGAACTGAAAAGCAGGACCTTTTGCAGTCTGGTCTGCATTTAGATACAGGGGACAAAGGGATTAAAAACAGGTTGTTCCAGTATAAAACAGGACCAATGGCCACCCTAGATGGAGCAGACAGTGATGATGAGAGGAAGCACTGATAGAGCAGGGAGTGGGGAGCCTGGGGCTGGAATGGCAGGGGGCTGCAGACTGGCAGAGGAAGACCAGCAGATATGTGTGTGGGGCACCCACACTGCACCTTCATTCCCTCATTTTCCCCACACCAGCTGTTCCCTATTGTAGTCTGTTTGCACCTAGTATTATGAGAAGAGCAGTAGTATGCATGTGACTTCTGTACAAGCTGACAGCTTGTCCTGGGCAGCTGCAGCTCTTTGATGAGGAAGAGTTGAAGGCTTAATTTTTAACCACACATGTGCTGGTCTAAATCAAAAGTGACACCACTGGAGTCAGTGGATTCCCACTAGTCTAAAAATAATGTAAAGGAGTCGGGCCCCCACCCCTTCCAGCGAGAGACCCGCTGTCTGTCACTGCACAGAGCCTAGAGGCCCCATCCTGGCCTTCAGCCGTTGCTGTCCGATACACTAAGGTCCTTGCACCAACATGATGATTAAACAAGGGCAGGGGACTCAGACATGGTGACAAAATGGCTGGCAGGCATGAGGGTGCATCAGTGAGATTCAAGAGTGAAAGGCTTCAAGGAGCCAGCCCTGAGCCTGTGTGGGCCCCTCAGCCTGGTTGTCTCCATTGGATATAAAGGGATATGAAACACCCGTTTGTTCAGGACCTTTCCTCCTCTTACTGTGGGGAATGTCTGAGAAACAGTGAATTCCCCCCAAGCACCACCTGCCCCCTACCCCATGCACACTCCAGGTCAAGTAGCAGAAGGCAGTTTCCAGACTCCTTGTAGTGCCATGCTTCAGACCCAACTGTTTTGCTTTGTGCAGACAGTGCCATACGGGCTGCTCTGGCTGCACCTGTCAGAGCTGACCTTAGGGCCCCTGCTCCCCTTCGCTCTGCAGGGGTGCTGAGGACCCCTGGGTGCTCTCTGCAAACACCAGAGTTTGACCCTTTGCCAGCTACTTTAGCAACCAATTTCTGCTTTGCCCACAGGTTTCCCCGAACTGGATTATTTCCAGGCAGCCGTGCAGCCTGCAGAGGGGACCAGCTCCCCAATCAGGTGAGTAGCAGGATGCCTCAGGCAGTTGCTGAGCTGGTAGGGGCTAAGCCCAAGTGTTCAGAGCCAGCCAGGCCAGGTCTGGGCTGTGTGGCTGGAGAGTGCTGTGCTGACCCTACAGCGCCATTCGGGCAGTATCTCTAACCTCTCCATCTCCTGCTGGTTTATTGCTCCCCCTCTCTGGGGTCTGCAGCTCCTCCCAGTGGAGGCTCTCTTCTCTGGTCACCAAGGTCATCTCTTAATCATTTTACCAATAAATAAGCCCCTAATAAATAAGCTGCTAATGAAGCCAGATCACTACAGGACACACAAATTTTCTCCTGCACTGGGAACCCTGTGGTAGAGTCCCTGTCCAAGCTAGCATGGATGGAGCCTGTGAGTGAGGTTTCCTGGGCCTGAGGTGAGCAGACCTTCTCTGCAGGTGAGTGACTAAATCTGTCTCTCCACCACTTCTTTTCATATTCAGCAGCTCCCACCTCCAGGGCCACCATCAGCCTGTTACAGCCAAGAGCCAAGAGATCACGCTGCTGCCCAGGTCAAGTGCCAGGATGCACCTGCCTTTTGGGAATCGGGAGGACCTACAGGACTCTGCAGCGTTACTGGCCGGTGAGCATGTGCAGCCGCTTCTTAGCGCCCTGGCCCATGAGACATCTGTGCCTCAAGTGCTTCAGTCTCCCTCACTCCCCATGTTGGAGCAGGGCCTCTCACCTTGCTCTGCTGCTGCATCCAGGGTAGATGAATCCACAATAGACCCCTGGTGGAACCACAGGTCCCAGCATCTCGCATCCTGTGCACCTGTCAGGCTCATTCTCAGTTGGGACAAATGTTAAGCAATTTGCTAGTGAATCCAGCCATTTGGGGATGAGAGGGGGAGAGAGAGAGCTAGGAGCACAGGCAAACAGAAGCCTCCTATGCCCTCTGGACCTCTGTTTAGCTGAAGATGCACAGTGGAATTGCCCAAGCTGGCAATTCCAGGCCCCAAAATAACCTTCCCCTCCCTCACCCCTGCTCCTGTGGGAAGTCCCTAGGATGAGCACAAGTGGCCAAGACCACCATCTTGCCTAGAAGACTGGCAGTACTGCCATGCCCCGGCACTGTACTGTGGCATGGTGGATAGTGCTGATGAAAAGGGGAGTGTGCTCCTACCAAGCCAAGCAGAGCCCCTCCTGGGCTCTGTACTGCCTTAGAGGGGAAGCCCCTACACCCACCCCACTCCCTGCAGCACCCGAACACTAGGCTTGCCTCCATCCATCATACTGGTCTGTCCCAGCAGTACCTGAGCCAAAACCAGCCAGTCTTCCCTCTCACAAACCCCAAGCAGCCTTGGCTCACTGCTGCTGAAGGATGATGGATTGATCCTGGTGTGAAAGGACAGGCCCCAAGGGTGACCCTGGAACCCCCTAGGACCACTCTAATTCTGCCTGTACTCCAGGTCCTCCATATACTCCCCTTTGATCTCACCAGCCATGCCTTGATGTTCTTTCTATCTTGTTCAGGAGGCTGTCCCAGAGTCCTTGCTCAGTTGAAACTGCTCATGCCCTGCTGACACTACTTAAACTTGGTGGTCACCACTCTAACCATGGTCTCCAGTGCCCCCCCCCACCCCGACACACCCATGCCTCAAAGGTGTCACTCTGTTGTCATCCATCTTCCTGTACAGACTTCAGGCCTTTTGGCCTTAGCCCACTAGTTACTCTGACCGTAGACTTCTAGCCGTGGCCCACTTACTCTGGCCCAGCTTCTCAGCCTCAGTATCTTCCCCCTCTCTCTCTCTCAGGATCAGGTTCTGGCTCCCTTGGCCTCAGCCCATTTCTGTCTTGCCCCTAGTCCTGGCAGGGCCAAACCTGGAGTACCTTTCAAGCACTTGTACATAGCCTTCTAACCATCCCTACAGTCACAAGTCAGTCCTCCAGTTTAAAATGCAACACAAACATAAGCAAACTGCTTCTAACAACACCCCCAAAGTCCCTCTGGGCCACCACACTGCTTTCAAAGCCACCTCTCCACTCACTGGTTCTCTTAGACCTGGGAGTACCTGACCTGGCTTGCAGCTTCTGCTCCTTTCCTGCCTGAGCTAGCAGGAGCTCTTCTCCTCATAGACTTCAAGGCCACACTGACTCCTCTATATCAGGAACCCAGGCTTATGTCCCCTGAGCCTCTCCTCTTCTAGTCAAATGTTTTCCTGACTGACCGCAGGTGTGTCTTTCAGCTGGTTCTCTGGCTTAGCCGTGGTTCTTCTGCTGCTGCCTATCCAGGGCTGTGCCCTACTGTCTTACTGCTAGGCAGCTAACCATGCAGTAGGCACTTGCAACCTATCGGTCCCTGGGTGCCTATTCTTCTGCAGCTAGCCCACGTTCAGCTGCTTGCTCCTACCTGTAAATCTGCCTGCTGTAGTAAGAGAAGCCTCTAGCTCCCTGTTCCACCTGGGTCCCAGAAATTGAAAGGTCCCTGGGGCACTCCCACTACCATCCTCAGTCTGCTGGGATGTCCCAGGGCTCATAAGGATGGTGGTGATGTAGAAGTTGTGCCAGAACAGCCTGCTCCTAAGCCCTTGTCCATCTGTCGATCTGTCTATCTTGCCTACATGAGCTCCTTTCTTGCTTTTCCCTTGCTAGGAGATAGTCAGAGAGCCAACAGCCAGATGACAGGGCACAGGCGGTTCCAGTGGTCACCTACAGGATCTCCAAGGTCACAGGATGCCAACTGCCAGGAGGAAGACTATGCCCTCGTAACCAACAAGAGGAGGTCCTACTCATTCACCTCAGGTACACAGTGTGGGAAGAACAGGACTGGGAGCTCTGCCCCTATGTCTCTGGTGTGCTCTCCATTGCAATTTGTGAGTCTCTGGTTCCCCGTTGGCAGTGCAGACCCACCTTCCGGGGGGGTTGCATATGCAAAGGGTGCTGAACAGAGAAGGTGAGAGTTTTGATTGGCTGGCTGTGCCTGGATGCTACCCATGAATGGTGCTCTACTTGGGGATGGTAGGGTTGGGCTGAGATCCAGGCCTCTGGGAATCCCAGCAGGCACCCTGATCTGGAAGGGGTTTTGCCCAAGGCTGGGAATGTGACTCGCTTTTGGTTGAACTCATTCTGAAGTGGGAACAGGGTGAATACCTGTTACACAGCACAGCTTAGAGGATCCATTCACTGTGCTGTGAAGTAGCTGAGCTGCTATGGCTGGCTGCTGGATGTTGGCTGGGCTCCTGTGCCTAAATGCAGTATCATTATTGCAGCTAAACCCCTGGCTTTCCTGGGGATTTGAGACCTTGCTATTCAAGGTCACAATTCCATTGCTGATGGCTACCACCAGATGGCACCAATGCCCTTCGCCTCTCATGAAAACACCTGCGATACAGAGGAGGCTGCTCAAGGCAGCTTGTGAGACTGCCCCCAAAATAAACTGCAACACTCTTATCCCATTCCTGGACAGTCCCCTGTGCACAGCACCACTTTGGAGCTGGCACCATGGCAGTGACTGACCTGCTGTGCCCCTTTCTTGGGCACCCCTGTTGGTTCAGTGAGGTTGACGTTCCTGTGGGAAGTAGGAACCCACCCAGTGCTCTGTCTCTTTCAGCCACCTACCAGAAGATCACGCCAGTGTCAGTACCCAAGGAGCCTTTGGAGCCTGGGAGCAGCTATTCCATTACGCTGTACATTGGGGAGCAGGCCGTGCCCAGGGCTCGCTGTCACTCCTTCGTGGCTATGCCGGGGAGCCCTCGGAACGTGCTAGTGGAGAGGGGCCAGGGCACCCCCCCTCGCCCCAAGAACAAGTCTGTCTTCAAGAAGTTCTTCGGGAAGAAAGAATGAGCCCAGGACAGGGGAATGCAGGCCAGAACTTGCCCATGTTTCTTCCTGCTGGGCCTGCCAGCTTGTGAACAGGAGCCTTCCTCGCAGGAACTCTCCAAGCACCCACTCACTGCAGGCACCAAACCCACAGGGCTTGCTAGCTCCCTACCCCCAGGGCTGGTGAGAGTGCAGAGGCAGAGGTCTCTGCACTGATGGGCTCTGCTTACACAGCCTCAGCGGAAAGCTGCACCTCACTTCCCCACAGGAGCAGCTACTGGGAAGGCACGCTAAGCAGGCACTGAGCATGGCGGGTTGTAGGGGGGGATGCCCTGCTGTCTTTTTCAGGCCCTTCTCTTGGAGCATGTAGGGTCAGGTCTCTGTGTGACACTGGAGCTGATGGAGCCAGAGAGACTCTACCTTGTGCATAGGGTACCCGGCAGCCTGTTCCCCAAGCACCCCAGTGCACCCACAGTGCAGGGCAGAGTGTGGGGAAGAATGGGATTATTTTTATTAAAGGCACACAGAACAATCTTGAAGTCTCTTCATCCAGCTTATGTCTGTGCAGGGAGTTGGACTCGGTGACCCTTGAAGTCTCTTCTAACCTTATGATTCTGTGACTCCTTCCCTTGCTACCACCAGGGCCTGTGCCACCTGGGACAGGAGAGCTGCCCTGGGCTCTGAGTATTGTTCCATAGGGTTAGGCAGAAGAAGGGGTTGCTTGGGATGGGATTCTCCTGGCTGCATCCTGGGGAAGCCTACCCTGGTCAGGGATGGCAGGGGCTTGGGGCTTTCATCTCGGGGCTCTCACCCTTCTCACTAAGAGGCTTTGGCTCAAAGTGCTCCTCATGCATCACAGATGGTTGCTTAGCACTGAGCCACAAAGCTAGGGACTATGGTAGAGGTCACCAGACCCTTCTCTTGGGAGCAGGTAGGAGCTCCCTGCTCAAAGGCCCTTCAGAGGGAACACAGCCTTGAAAAGAGTCTGCCAAGTTCCTGCCCTGCCCTGTTTGCCCCCAGCCCTTGCTGGGGAAGGGGCTGTGGCCCAGGCCTGGCTCATTTCATGCAGAGGAACTGAGGCCAGAGGCAGCTCCTGCTTTTCGCTCATCCACCTCCCAGACAGGGGAAATACCATGACCATGATGGTGGCATGGGAAGTACCCTGACCAAGGTAATGCAATTAAAATGGCATTATGTAGTGGAGGGTTGCACTGTTGTCTGCTTGCAGACAGGACTTCCTATGAGACCCTCATAATTAACTTCCCACTGGCTATCTTCCAGTGGGAGGGTCTCGGCTACACGCTGACTTTATGGAAATGGGAGACTCCTCCCTAGGTTGCTCCTGCAGCCATACAGCTGAAGGCAAGCAAAACTTGGGGGCATCCCAGCCCCAAGTCTCCAGGTTTGGGCCTGCACGTAGGATGCCTGCCAAAAGATTTGGAAGCATCCGAAGCCCCAGGTGGGGGTGGAGGATGCTTGCCGGTAGCAGGGCCACACATGGTTCTTGAATGACTCACAGATTTGGAATTGATTTGGCTTGAGATATGAAAAATTTTTCCTAAAAAAAAATCTACCTCCCAGACAGACCCTAGGTGGGGGGCTGTCTGAGGGGCCAGTAGCGCTCTCCATCTGAGTGTATTCACATGTTTTGCACTGAATTCAGTGGGCTGCACTGGTTTCTAGTGACTCTTAATCCCACCAGAGCTGAGCAGGGTCCAAGGGGTGCTAGTAGGCTTCCTGGGCTGGCATGCAGAATGCATGGGCATCAAACAGGGATGGAGGAAGGCTGCTCTAGGGCAACAGTGAGAAACATCACAGTAACTGACTGTCTCCAGTCAGTACTGGGACTCCAAACCCCACTCTCCCACACTGTACTCCAGTTGCCTTGTTGAAGTTCAGCCAGAACTGGATTTACGGTGCTTTCAAATCCCTGGGAATGCCCTGGCACTAAGCAGACACAGGGTGTCTGAGGGCCTGGAGGTTGGTACTTGTGGTTAGAGGCAGACCCTGCTGACGTGGGAGTTCATATCTGCCCTAGTTCCCATTGTTCTGCAGCGCCATGGCCATTAGCCCCTTGCTCCCTGGAGCACAGGGCCAGGCAAGGAGGCAACCATGTTGTACTAGCGTGCAGTGCTGCAGCAAGGACTGAGGTAGATCTGGGCCTGTTAGATTTCTGGGGCATCTGGTTTTTTGCACATTTCCCAAAGGGGATAGATAAGCAGGTGAATTGCAGCTTCTCACGAGTGAGCAGGTGCAACTCTAGGGAACACAGTACAAGAGGGCCACTGGGCCCTGGGCCCTGTTTAAACAGCTAGGTAGGCCATTCCTATCCAGCCCTCACCTGGCAGTAAGGGTGATCCTTTCTTACTGCTCTCTTGTTCCTCACTGTGTTGAAAAAGGGCTGACCTCTGCCCAGTTTTCAGGGACGTGGCCCAAGACCCCAGCCAAAACTAGTACTGGGCTGCACTAGTTTCCAGTGATCCCACCAGAGCTGAGCAGAGTCTAAGGGGTGCTAGTAGGCTTCCTGGGCCACCTTACTGGCAGCCATAGCCAACAAGCTGTGGGCAGACTGGGCTTTAGAGACCAGGCTATCCTCTTCCCCAGGAAAAGACATGAGACACTTTGGCAGGAGCTTGAGTCCTAGTGCCTGGGATGTGCCAGTCTGAGTCTAGAAGGTTTCAGTTTTCAGGGCTCAGCCTGGCACCCCTGGTGTGACATCCCTGACCTTTCAGGGTGCAGGGAGGCTAAATCTCAGCCCAGGGTTGACCCTGCTATACCCCACTCTCTTCCCCTCCCCTGTGGGCTCTGACTCTGCTGGGTCCTAGGCCAGTTTGCTTGCTTTGTTTCTCTCCAGAACCAAAGTAAATAGTGCATCTAAGCTGCTTTAATGGCAGCAGGGCAGCAGAGACAGCTTCTCATCCTGCAGAAGGCACCTTGCTGCCCCCAGGCATGACGAAGGGTTTGGGAGGAAGAGGAGGAAGAAGCTGACATGAGGAGCATTAGGCCTTCATCTCAACTGCACAAGACAGTTGGTCAGTAGTGACCCAGCATCATCCTGTGCTTGCCCAGGAGCCAAGATGAGGGACACAGTGAGTCCAAGACAACCCTTCTCATCCCACAATCCTCTGCACCTGTACTCCTGCCAAAGAGAAACTGGGTCAGGCAGAGAAATGGGGAGATGACAGCATCAGCCCTGAAGCAATGGACATGTGGGATGGAGACAGACAAGGGAGCGGGGGCAGAGCTGTGAGCTTTGTGGGACAGGATGCCACAGCTTGCACACCCTGCCCTGGCGCCAGCGTCCATGCTCTCCTGGTGGGAACATGGCCTCTTGGGGTTGGGGCAACTCCAGGCTTGGAGACCTCCAGCCAAAGAGCTGCTCTGAGCGCCCAGGGGACTGACCAGCTGCCTGCCTCCACCCCAGGTAAGAGCTCTGAGCTGAGTGCTGCAGCCGCCCAGCCTAGCATTTGGGCTGGCCTCTGCAATATGGGAAAGTGAAAAGGCTCCCAGGGAAGAGAGGGTCAAGAGCAGCACAATCAGGGTGAGTGGCTGCTCTGATCTGCCTCCTGCTCCCAGGGCATCCCTGGCCTTTCCAAGCAAAGCATTGCACCCCAAAGACTCCTACCCCGCTGCCACCACCTGGCTCTGGCCTATAGCCTGGCTCAAGAGATGCTTTCTAGCATAGCAGTCAGCTCCTCCCAGACAGGGCTAGGCCTGCAATGCTGCTGGGAAACAAGGATAGACACATGGAGCTAGGACTCTGGCCCCTTGAACCCACCCAGGTGCTGGTTCTGGGTCCACAGCACTGTGCTCTGTTGCCCTTCCAGTTGGAGGAGCCTGGGCAGAGCTGCATGGGAGGTGACCCAGGACAGGGATAGCGGAGGCAGGCAAGGCCTAGGGTGATCACTGTCCTTGGCAGGGGGGCAAAGGTTGCCCAGCACCTGCCTGCAGTGCCAAGTCTTGGGATTAGGTGAGCACTAGGACCTGGCGAGCTCCCTGCAGGCTCTGTGGGCTGATCCCAACACCAGCTGAAGCAGCCAGCCTGAGATCAGGTTAGGAGACAGCGCTGAAGCCAGCTGCAGGGAAACATGTAAGCAACCGCGACTGCGCCCCATGCCAGCCCCCCTCAACCCCAGGCTGAGTCTCCCACCTGGCGGGAAGGGCTCTTCTCCCTGCAGGTTCCCAGGGGGTGGGGGAAGAGTGCATGGAGGGCATGGGGTGCCAGCCTATACCTGCAGGGAAATCCTGCTGAAGTCAGCACAGCTGGTTCTGCCCCAGGGAGCCCCTGACACCAGGGCAAAGGCTGGTCACTGTGGCTGTGGATCACCCCACTTGTCACCCCTGTGAACCAGATGCTGTAAGCAGGGTCCAGCTCACGGGCAGTGTGTGAAGTTACTCTCCATTCCCTGCCAAGCCCCTTGCCTTGGGGCTAAGCAAGCAGAATTAGCCAAATCCATGCTTAGACATCCCTTAGATCCACCAGGTCATCCCAAGGGCACATTTAGCTCCCCCTAGCCCCAGGCCTTAATGAACAGATCTACAACCTCCCTCCTTCTTGCCCCAGCCAGTCAGATGCTGTGCAGTTATCTTGCTGCATGGAACCCAGGACTGGTGTCCAGCATGGCAGGATTCCCACTCACCCTCCCCAGGGCCCTCTCCTATTGCTCACTGCAGCCCCCTGGCTCTGACACCCTGTTCTTATCTGGCCTCTGTGATCCAGCCCCATCAGACTGTCCCCACACTCCAGATCTGCACCCACAGGGTGCTTATGTCTAAGCCTCTCACCTTCTGCCGTCCAATTTCGTATTTTCTCCCCACGGCTCCCTCTGTTTATAGCCTGCCCTTCTGGGTCCAGTTCAGCTCCCCTCCTTCACAGCTTGCTACTCCCATGTCATGCCAAATGTGCTTAGACTCAGCCCATGTGCCCCTACCTCCTCCCTGCTTGGGATGCCTGGCAATGCCTGACTCTTCTCTGCTATTCTGGCAGGGTGAGCTCCAGGCTGGGATGGCATGGCCAATGCAGCCTGCGACTGACAGGCAGGCTCAGACAAAATGTGTTGTGCCCTCCTCAGTGTGTGTATCAGGGAGACTGTGCAGGTAGAGCAGGGTTCATAGCCTATGTTCTCCACCCATGCCCCAAAGCCTTCTCCTTGCCAGGTGTCCCTGCGTCTTCACATTGTAGCTTTGGCCGGCACTCTTGTTAAAGGGCTCACACAGTGTGAATTGCATGGCATCACTGAAGTGGGCTAGACAATTCTGTTGCATGTCCCCTCCCCCCTTTCCTGTGCCACAGAGGCCATGATGCATTGGGCAGGGGCTGGGCAAGGGGGATCTGCACCAGGGGTCAGAATCAGGAAAGGGCAGAGTAAGGGGGTCAGAGAGGTCAGGACAGGGGGTATAAGCAGGGTGGTTTGCCTACAGAAGTACAGGGCTGTAGTTTACAGTGTGATTCACTGATTAGAGTAGAGCATTGGGAGCAAGGACTCTTGGGTTCTGCTCAGACTGGCTATGTGCCCCGGGCCAAGTTACTGCCC